TTTGCATTTCCAAAGCACTTCTTTTCAGTTTTTTCTAACCAAAAATTTTCATTGCAAAATATCTCGATAAGGTTCTCATAGATATTGCCCAAACTTAACAAACATTGAGGCAGCTGTTGAACGAACAAGCGCCCGCGAACGAGTGTGGAAAACCGTTTAGTGCCGAGAAACACGACGACTAGTTATATGGGTAACGAGGTATTAACGTTGCTAAGACAACTCCAGTGTCAAGTTCAAGTTCATTTATTCACATTTATTCAATTATAATACAACAACAATAAGAAAAAAAGAAGTAAAAACAAAGCTAACTGTACATTTAAATTGAATTAAACATAACAAAGAAAAAAAGTTTGTAGCAGCCAAAGGAGCCAAGCTTTCCAATTGGCCACTACCACAGAGCGGTTACAAGTGGGTGGAGGTTAAACGGTACTTACAAAAAAACTAGTTATGGGGTTCTGGCTAAATTAATCATATTGAAAAGGAAGGGTATATATGAGTAATAATAACTATTTAAATTAAATAATTAAATGAATAGAGCTTAATAACAGATTAAAGTTGTTCACTGTCAAGTAGAGAGAATTTACATTCTTTATTAAAACTGTCAATATAACACTGACCATAACAAATTTTCATCTTTGTCTGATACAACTTTGGTGGTCGTTTCATGTAGTTTTGTTAATGGCGACGTAGTTAATTCCCAAACTTAGGTGGTATTGCTCGTGAAAAATTTTGTCGAGTCACCTTAAAATACGCAGCGCGGAATCATTTTCAATAGATCGTCTTCAGTCACGTGGCCAGCAGTTACGCAATTAGTTGGAACAAAAGAAAGTTTTAACATACGAAAAAGGGTTCCACTCTCACAGGACAGTGAGAGGACTGCTTTGGTACACCAACATGGCCGCCTTTTCATTGTTTTGGAACACAAATATGGCGGACGTGACGTCATGTAAAAACGTTCTATATTAGACGTTTTTCGGTTGCTGCTATTGTTCTGTTGAAAGAACGATACTCGACATCGCGAAAACCAAAAAACGTTTTAACATTTCAAAATAGGAGAAAATTAAAGGACTCTCCTCTTTTCTCGTTACAATCTTATTGACGACAAAAAGTCATGAAATTTTTCATTACTCCCATAGGCTACTCCAGGAGCCACAACATACGAGTTAGCCCATAGAATGCGTCGAAGTTTACGCAGTGAAACGTGTATTAGACGGATACCCACGTGACCTTCACTGGAGTCCGCTTTATAAGGGACCGGTCATTATTTATCGCAGGGGCGGGGGGCGGAGGATTTTGGGGGGGATCAATTTTTGTAGGAGAACAAAAGAAGGGATCAGTCGTAACTGAGAACCCAAAAGGGGGGATGGCTGAAAACTTTGAAAGGATTCAGACGGAGGACCACTCAAATTTGCTTGGAAAATGAAGACATGGGGTGGGGGGTCATCAAAAGTTATTAGGGAGGATCACTTCAGTGAAGTAGTATTCATTCCCCCCTAGTCGATTTAAAGTGGAACAAATTGGGGTTTATGAGGCGGGGGAGGGGGTGGGGTCCGCTATTTATTACTGGCCAGGGATTTCCACAGGTGATTTACGTCCAAGAAAGATGAATTTTACCCTGAAAACGTTTTAAACATACTGAGCTAATCGTCTGCTTACAGGGTGCCCACTTAACACAGGTGACACTGTATTCAAATTATGTTGGTAAATCAATTTGAGTAGCTTGTGCAGTTTTAAGCTCTTTGCAAGCAATGCCGGAAAAACGAAATAGCAGCAATCGCGGAAAACTGCAAAACCGTTTGGTGGCAAATTTTAGCGTTTTTAAAAAGAAATGCTCCGAAACTATTTGGTGTCCGATCGGGCACAAAAAATTCAGAGACAACTGAAAATTCAGTATTCAGATACACTGGAACTAAAAGACGTACTCTTAACAACAACTTTACGGTCACCTCGTTATTACGGCCCCTTTTTTTGGTCCGCCAAAACGGTCATACATTTTCGTATAAAATTTATAAATCTAAAACAATAGAATCTTTTATAATTTCACCACGTTAACAGAGGCACTCGTTCGAAATTTAGAAAATTAAAATGCCTGTGTGATATGTCAGTCTCACTGACCTAGCAATCTGAGCATGTTCTTGTATTGTTTTGAGACCGTAGTACACTTAAAATGCACTTGTGGCGGTTTAATAGCCGATTTTTTTAAAGTGTTTAATAATTAGTCTCCTTACGCAAGCAGCGGGACTTAAAGGACACGAAAAGAGCTAATGGTCCCAGGCGTTCCTAGCGGAGACCGTGGAAACTGCGAATAAGAATCGTTGGGTGACTGAAGCCACGCATGTTTTGCAGGGAAAGCTTAGGAAAGATTAAATTTAGAGCTTTTCCAGAACAGGTCGGTCCACGAATTCTATCGCTTGAAAGCGTTAATTATTTTGGAACACCACAGTGGTCGGAAAAAAAAAAAGAAAAAAATCTTAATTAGCAAAACTGCGATGGTCGTTTGTTGTAAACTAGTTTCGTCGTTTGCAAATGGGTCTTGAGCATGCAGTTTATTTTCGGCGATGATTGAAATGACGTGCCATGTAAATCACTTTTTCGATCTCTGGAAATGATGTAATTTCCCTGGAACTGAGGCCCTTAAATTTTCGTATATTTATACACTCGTATAGCCTGCCACCACAGACGTATTTCCGGTCGTCGCTAACACGCGTACTAAATCAATTCAGAAACAATTAAAAAGTAAACATCCTGAAGAATACTTGACCGTCGATAAAGTAAGAGGTGAAAACCCTTTAGCGAGTAAACCCTGTTTCGAGTAGAATTAATCGCCTCCTTATTTCTCGATCTAATCGCCAAGCAAGCGAGGCTCACCGCCGCTGTAAGAGCGTTCTTGCTACTGTACACGATATCTACATTACGATTGTTTATACTGAGTGAGAACATTTGATCAAAGTGCAAATGCGAATTTATGGTACATTTGTCATTCCCGCCAGCTTAAGTCATTTAATTTGACCCTGCCCTGGCTAGACTGGGCGTTTCCCTCTCTGTCCCATTAGGAGCGGTTACGCAGACCATGGTAAAAGGCATTTCCCACGTTAACGAAGCCATGGTAAATTTTAACGTGGGTTTAGTTTACCGTGGTAACATGTGATTACAGGTGAAATTATTCCCGAGATAATTTAGCCGCTTTTACGACTTCATTAGCGCTTTTTCTGGTCATTAATCGCCGTCGATCATGGCAGTATTTCATGTCATGTTGAAAATTTATACATAATTTAGCTGAAATTTTGACTGGTATTTTTATAGCCTGCGAAAACACCCGTTTCTCCTTGCTCTTCGCCGCTGGGGACGTTTCTCGCAGCGGCGAAGAGCGAGAAGAAACGGATGTTTTGGCAGGCTAGGTATGTTAGTCCTGATAATTTAACGAAAGAACATAGAATTTTCTTAATCTTGCCCTTAGATTCCAGTTTACAGTTCAGCTGCATCCCACTTTTCAGTTACATGCAAGGAAGAGAACATACTTTTGAGAAATGTTGTTCCTAAATCTAGCCCAACAAACCAGTTCAAAATTTTGCCTTACGATTTTCCTGTTACTTTTATCTTAACGTGAAATCTACAATGTGAACATCGATTTTTCGGTTGATGCTCGACATACAAAGTCAATATACGCACTTTAGTCTCGTTTTGTTGTGTGAAATTTATTGTGTCATTGTGTAAGGGCTAGTGATCATTGTTGTGTTCTTTGTAAAGTAACTCGAGACTTGCTACTCACTTGGTATATCGTGCACCAGTCGATCTTTCTCTCATCAGCGTGAAATAATTTCCTTAAAAGTGACGTGGTGGTTTCACGTTGGTTTCAAACGAAGAAACCTGATTGGCTCTCTTGCTTGGGTATCGAAAAACTCTAGCTGTTACCAAGTTAAATCAATCAGTACGCCCCGTTAAATATCATGGGCGGTTTCTTTCTTCTTTTTGACGTAACCATGGATATTTCCCTGTCACACGCACGCCGCCGAGATTACTATTGTGCGTAAAATCAAAATAACTTTGGATAGCTGTTTTCCAACCAGTTTATAATGCCAGTTTTCGTCAGGTTTCAGGCGAGTTCCTGATTAGTTTATTTTAACTTCTTAAGTGTAAATTAACATTATATCTCTTATAGATACAGCATTTGCATTTCCCCATTTAGGCCAAGTGATGCTCTCAAGGGAATTTGCTTTTTGTCTTTTCATTTATACACATGCGCATATGCATATGCATATTTTTCGTATTATGGAGGCATTTGTTTGTGAATAGTGTGGGGGGTATGTTCGAGCAACTCGCTCGCCACATGATTAGGTACCAGGAATCTGATTTACATCTTGGCCTTTATTCTTCTTAATCTTCTTACCACTTCTACTTACTCAGCGACTTTTTCAGTTCTACCAACTTCACTACTCTTCTCTACTTCTACTTACTAGTTCAAGTATAGTAGCGGTTTTAATAGCCAAAGCTGGACATGTTTGGGTTAGCTGACTGGAAGAGTTTCTATTGTATATCTTATCGCTAATATTGCAACAGGTTTGCTATTGTTAGGAAATAGATTAACCTACGCACAGCCGCAACTGATAAGTACCAAAGAAGGAAGGTCAGCTCTACCACCACAAACACGACCACCTGTAAAAAACTAACATCTGACAATGCCGGGTGAATAACATTCCTAACATGGCAATAAGTAAATTCGCGAGCTAAGCATAACTTTAAGTACAAGTAAAAACAAAAGATCAAAACAGGAAAAAAGAACGGGCAAAAACAAGACTTAATGAAACAAAAACTAAACTTAAAAGTTAAGATAGATCCGTCTTAAAAATAACTTTCAAAATACTCCACAACAATAGCGCGACATACGAAAGGAAGAGTTCTCTGAGGTAACATCAGAAGATCTACAATGGGAAAAAAACGTACACACTGATATTTTTCCATAATCAAATGAAAATTTAGCGTTCCCTGAGCCTTCGCCTCGACTACACCCGGCCTCCAAACCAATAATTTGTGGTTGATCTTTCTGAACTGGAACAACGAAATGCGATGTTGGTATTGCTCTTCCAATATCCACCGAAATTGGCTTCATTTGCACCGGAGCCTGGTGTTTTTCCAAACTGGCATTCATCCTGATCGCTAAAGTGCGTTAAAAATCTTTGATCGTTTTGCCACCAGGCCGCCGTGCATCCTGTACAGTTATGCCCGCGAATATCGATGTAGTCCATCTTACAGCATTTACCACTGGCCTCGAACTTAATTGGGTTCAAATTCTGGAAAGCGGCCCGCAGATAATCTCTGAAATCGACTCCGAAATTTGGAAAATCACACGTTACTCTCCAATGGCTAGATGACTCTTTTATGACCCACATTCGTCCTTTCCCGATTCTGTACTTTTCCCAGTTGGGAGTGCGCTGATTCTTTAGTACTCCTTTTAGGAAAGGCGATTTCGTAAAACTATTCCCTCTGTTGCCAAAACCTTGCGACATAACTAGAGTCCAAGCCCAACCGGGCTCCGAACTGAAGTCGCAATACATTTCGTAAAACAGACACTCCGTTCTACCTTGTATGAGGTAAAAACCCGATGTTCGTGCTCCTTGATTCCATGCCTGTAGGCAGCTCCTAGGTTTCCGTAAATTGTTTGAAAACGAGATTACGTTGAAAATATTACTTATCCTACGGACACTACACAAAATACATTTATTTATGAGTCATTTCAGTGGAGACCTTTATTTAAGTATCATCAATTGTAAAAATCGATAACTGAAACTGAGTGAATTACTTTCGCTTCCAAGGAGACCATTACTAATTTCAGCTGCCAAGTTGGTCAGGTTAACACCTGCAATCATTCAAATTAATATTTTGGCACTTCTTTTTCTTTTTACTTTTCTAGGAAGCACAAAGAAAGGCTTCCTGCGATACTATCTTTTTGTCCTCTTCCTTTTTGTTAATGTAAGTGCCTGCTCGATGCCAGCACAGCTAGCAAAAAAAAAAACAAAAAAACAAAAAAAAAGGTGGATAACAGCAGTTATATAGTACACAGTCTTTTTCTTGCCTGAGTATCAGGCCTTCCGTATAGTAGTTGCTAGGAGAAACACGTTGAATTCTGCAAAGCTGATCTTACTACGTAAGTGAAAATTAATTTTGCAAGACATCAATACCACACTGATAGAACCCAAAACAGAGAAATGGACAGAAAAAAAGCTCTTACTCTAGTGAGAAAATAACAGGTCACTCGATCCTACGTTCTGCGACAAAATCGTTTGCGGTCCTTTGCCGTTCATGTTCGCTTATTACTAGGAGAGGGGAGATAAGAGATTTGAGGTAGAGAAGAGGAGGTCGAAAAGAGAAAGGAAGGCTCTCTCACCTTTCGCTTCTCTCTTCGCCCTGGTTTCTTATATTTTTTGTTTATTTTTTTTATGGGGGTAGTATTGCTCTCTTCTTTATCATCTTAATTCATTCCCTAAAGCACCCGATTTTGATTTCAAACGACACAAAAATGAAAAATTATAATTGTTATTAGCGGACTGTAGTTGAGTATGTGTGTAACCTTTTCAACCAGAATTCCCCCTGGAATTCTTTTCAATTTTTTTTTGAAAATGGAATGAAATGAAGAAAAAAAATACCGAAATTCGGTAAAAGGGAACACACATATTCAACTTCAGTCTGCGAATGAGCTCATGGTACCATGCTGTGGCAAGAGCCGATCGGCTACGGTAAGAGAGACTGTCAGATTTTGCAGCCTTTGTCTTCAAATATTAAAATTTTAATTTTCAAGTTCTCATTCTAATTTTCAGCCTCTTCAAATCTTAAAACTTAAACATCTCCCGCCATATTCCTTTATTTAAACATTGTAAAACAAAATCATTAAAAAAATTCGTAAACATTAATTTTGTAAAGGGTTACACACCAATTGAAGCATTTTTAGATCGAATAAAATCTCGGCGAAATTTTGAAGGAGAATAGCTAAATTATGCATAAAACTAGGCTTTTGACCAGATACCCCCTTAAATTTGCAATTAAAGACATAACTGAAACTGTGAAGTCTTTGTTTTCACGATGCTTGATACGAACAAACAAAGTCAATCTAATAGATGACCCGGCCGAATTAAGGCATCGTACCTCTATATGTATAACGAACAGTTTTCCTAGCCCAAGTACTAGTAAAATATATGGAAAAGAACTTCGATATAGCGAAACCTTGTAGATAATATATTTTTTCAGTCCCTCCAGCCCTTCGTCATATCGAGGTTTATAACGCGGCGATAAATAAAAGGTCCTTGATTTTTTAAAGGTATTTTTTTAACGGTCGGACAGTTTTGCCATACTGAAGAAAAAAATCTTGGAATGTGAGTACCCCACAGGATAAGAGAAGAGAGAAAAGACAAAAAAAAAACGAGAAAGTCCATAAATCATCGCAAAGACTGACAATGGCGTATCTTTCAGTCCATCTGCTTAGCTACCTGTTATCTCCCCGTTATTCCAAAAGATTGGAGATTAGTAAAAAGAATTTGTAAAATTAATGGACCCCTTAAAAAAGTGAAATGGAACTTGCTCTCAGCGCGACGAGTTGCTTGAGAGCTGTCCATCGAATCAGCAGTTTTAATCTGAGAATTTGAGGCAAAGAAGCGGGGGGTGGGGGGGGGGGGGACAAAAAAAGAATACCAAAAGAGGAAAGCTCCCCGTGAACGGGGCATACATACAATACTGTGTGTGTCTGTAAGCTTGTATTTTCTATTATTATTTAAAGTGAAAGAAAAGAAAAAAAATTGAAGAATAAAAAAAAGAATTTGTAAAATTAATGACACTATAAAAAATGGTAGAGGGAACGGTTGCTAGGAGGGGGTGGTTGGGTGGGGGGTAGGCGAGGAAACGTTGTTTGAGTGAAGGGATTTGGGGGGAGAGGGGGGGGGGGGGGGGGGGGGGGGGGTACTACCTATAATGACCTACACGGGAAGGCTCCGCCAGAAAGGGTAAAGATTTCAGTTGTTGAGGTATGTGAAATGGTGGGGAAAACTGTCATAAAGCCGGTCTGCAAACAGGCCCAATAGATGCACTTTAAGGCTGTAAAGGAGTTGAGAAAACGTTCCGGTTTTTGTGATTTATTCCTATTTAAAAGACAGTGTATTTACAGCAGTTGAAAGCTGAGATGCAAAGGTCTTAACTAGGTCGTGAAAGGGGTACCTTTTATTTCAAAAATGGTATAAAAAAGGGTAAGGGATTGGAATCAGGGCGGAGCCTCCCCGTGTAAACTTGCTTGAGTACTGCCCCCCCGGTTTCAAAATCGCCAGGTGCATAGGGGCATTTCGTAATAACAAATTTTAGAAAAATTACTCGCCACTTTTTGTCTTAATCGAACGAAGAATGACCCTTTCCTTTCCCGGAGTACTTCTTTACTCTCCGCTTCTTCGTTTATGAGCTCACACGCACCTTGGCTTTCTGTGGAGCGCTCATAATTGTACGAAGTACATGTTGGATCTGCTAAGCATTTGTGACTGCATGCAAGAATTCCACGGGTTATTATAGATTTGTAATTACCGCCGATCAATATCTGATCATTGTAGATCAAACCATGTGCTTCATGACAAAATTCAGACCGGCTAGAATGAAACAAGATGAAAATTGCGGAGAGGATAATTTTGGCAAGCTTCAGCTGCATTGCTCTTTGTTTTATTAATGACTATATTGGATTAGCCTAACAAACAGAAACGTCTCTCTGTGACGGCGCTATGAATTGTCATCTGTTCTGGGTCCAAATTTTTTTGGAGGGGGGCTGGGGGAGCGGGGAAGCATTGTAGTTCGGAATCAGCCTCGTTCTCAGTCGCCCTTTGCGATTTCGGATGTGGTGTCACCTATCAAGCTTGTCGGGAGAATTTTCTCTGTTCCAAGTCTCCTCCCGGCCCTCACTCGAATAGCGAGAACTGAACTCAGGGCGAGGCTGATTAAAAATAATTTTTCCTGAATTTTTTACATAATTATAATATTCTGTGTAGAGAATGTGTTTTGTCCTCGTGTATTTTTGAACTTATAATCAGTTTGAAATAACTTCTCTCTACGATGATCCAGGCGTTTATTACTCATTTTAAAATCTGAGCAGCAAAATTACAACAAAGTCCAATTACCACATTTATTCGAATAAGCGCCCAACCTCGAATTAGCGCCCACCTCGAATAAACGCCCATTCTAAAGGCAGAAAAAGTTAATAAGCGCCCAGCCTCGAATAAGCGCCCACCCCACCCTACCCCCTTTCCCCTCACACTCCCCCAAAATTGAATAAGTGCTAATAAGAGACTTCCCCGAGGACGGAGTTTTCTTCAGAGTATTTTACAGAAACCTTGCTTTGTTACATCTTCGCGTTTTGCTTTTACTATTTATTGTTTTGTTACAAAATAAACATACTGCACTTACTGAAGTGTTGAAAATTTAATAAGCGCCCACTCTCAAGGTCCAAAAACTTTATAACCGCCCAGGGCCGTTAATCGAATAAATACGGCAACTCTCTTCCTTCAACATCTTTTGGACTTTTAAAGTTATGAAGTATAATCGTCGATTAATTTTTACAGCTGAATAAGTGATATGTTTGAGATAATTATTTCTTTGTAAAAAAAGAGTATTATTGATGGTGCTAATTTTATACATATTTTTAAATTTAAAATTTATGTTTTTATGCTAAGTTTTCACTATAGTCAACGGGCTACGCTAATGCACCCAGTCATACTATTTTAACCGTATATGGCATACAAAAGTTTTAACTGCTGTATAATATTAATAATGATAACAGAGGGAAAACAAACCCCTCTTTTCTGTTAAATACACACAAATTTTGCAGCTGGGAAGTTTTTAATTAAACACTTTCAATTTAAGGAGATTGATAAAAAAAATCCAATTCACAAAAGGACAGCAATCATTGATTTTTAAATCCAGTGGGCCGTTTCACAAAATACAACTGCAGAGACAGATTAAGCATGAAAACCGCACGTAGTGTTGCAATAGCAACAAATGTTTTGATCAATCATGAATCGTCTTCAGCCACAAGTTCGTGACAAATTGGTCGTTCCAAAAATTGACGGTAAGATTATTTACACTTCTTTTCCATTAAAAACTACAATGACAGCACACCAATAGGAGAAACAAAGAGACGTCCCGCACCCGAAACTAATGATTACTTGATCTATCTGAAAAGCCAAAAAGATGAGTTCTAAAGGAACGGTTACTTAATCAGGTTTTAGTAAGCTAATCTCTAAGAAGTGCTCGCCATGTAAACTTACTAAAATGTCCATTTATGTCCGTGGTTTTGTGTCTTTTCTTGTGATCCAGATATTTGTCAGAGTTCCTGCCATCCAATTAATTGGTCAGATTCTGTTCAGTTTTAACCCTTTCACTGCCAAATGTGGCCAAAGGAAAATTTCGACCAAATTTCCAAATTACATTTCCGAAAATTTTGACAAACAAATAGCATCATGTGAAAGTACAGGCAGAGAGCTTTCATTTGAATGGTCACATCATAGGATTATGTCCGCAGACTCAAAAGTTAGAACCACCTTACAAAACTCTATCAAACACTCTGGCAGTGAAAGGGTTAAATTAAGACGCTGAGTCAAAAGCTTTTGCGTTTAATTGTTGTAAAGGCTGAGAATACGAATCTTTTATTAATGTATCCCGGGAGAAGTCCGGGTTACTCCTTTGACATGCTACCCTAGGTATGTGCGACACCAAAATGGTTGTTTATTACCCCTTTTGAATTCAGATTAGGTGCTTTTTAACCGATTATGCCTTATATACATGATATAGTGTGAGGTTTCTTGCTTCCTGGAACTAGAGTCTGGAATTGGATAGGAGCCAGTCCTAGGCTCCTGATACGTTGCATTGGAGAACCGTGCGAAGGCCTTAATTAACCACACTCTACAGTGACTATATCTCAAACGTTGCGATACAGATCCTTACATAAAACTTGATACAAGGTACCTAGATTTGCGAAAACAGTCCCTTTCCGAGATGGCAAAAGATCCAATTCCGACCCCGGGAATCGAACTCACGACCTCCCGCTCTGCAGTCAAGCGCTCTTCCGAGTGAGCTAATCCTGCCGCGGAGCCCGGGAACATAGTTGTTACTCTCTCAAAAGACACAAAAGGGCAGAAAATAGATCGAGTTTGGTTTTTTTTGGCGTCTTAGGTAGGAAGGTGCGCGAAGCGCCATTCTGTCATCCGTCGGGCTCAGTCCATCCTCATTTAGACAGTGGTAATAGTTCCGTGTTCAAGTAAACGAACTGTAAATGAGTTGAAATGCCAACTGACACGAATTCCTACATCCCCTAATTATCCCACTAGCCGCTTCTATTACCTGGACAATTCGGTGATGACGAGCGGATTGGTGAACTTGAGGTCTTTCTCCTAAGATAACCACTTTTTCCGGCACTGAATGACACAGTGCCATACAAATGGGATCGACCCAGTTGACAGAGTAAATTTTCCATCGTAAAAGAAGTTGAACGAGATTCAAAAGCTAACTTTTAGAGTGCTAGCGAGATAATCTCCCCTGATCATCGTTCTTTTCGACTTGTCACGCAATCAACACGTGACGAAACTTCTATTGACGTCTACGTAGAGAGCTATTCGATCGTCATGGCGAAACAAGGGATTGTGTTTCGGCTGGGCATGTATGAAGTTCATTTAGTAACATGATAAACAATAATAAATTAGCTGAATGAAAAGCGTTCCACGTAAATCCAATCCGTCCTCGCCGTAAACTGGTATCCAGATCCCGCACACGCCGCAGTACAGACACACTCTAAGGAGATCTGGATACGAGACAATACACGCCATTCCACCGCCTAGCTTGGCGCTTCGAGTACTTTGTTCCAAGGATGGACCCGATGCACCATTTGCTGTCGTCAATTTCCGAAACACATCATAGAAACCTTTTTCTGGCGAACTGATTTATTTATAGGTAAGTCACGCACTTAGAGAGTGTTTAGCAGTTTATTTTGTATGCCTTTTATACAGGGATTTTATACTGGGCACTCGCCGGCAAGTTAGTTCAAGTACATCTTCCTTTTGGGTTGTAGAATCGCTAACTGTTGTCTTTATCTATTCGATTTCCCCCAGTATCTTCAAGGTTTCATTCCCTACAAAGTTTGATTTTTAATATCATTTTACAACTGCTGTAGTCAATTTTCGTTACGTCCTGGTTGTTTTCAGTTACTATAAAGCTCCACAGGAGGGAAAAAAAGTGAATACGACAAGAAAATCGAACCTCGCTTAGCCACAAACAATTAGGAAGTCGAATTTAGCCGTTCTAAGCCGCTCCAAGTAACATAGGCGGACTGAAATTAAGTACAAACGAGTGCGGCAATCGACTACCGATTGTACGCGTTGCTAGAAGGCGTCGGGCAGAGGCGAAAGAAAGATTTCGAGGGGTGAACTACGTTTTTATAGTATCAATCACGTGTTAGGTGATCTCGAGTGATCGTATGATCATGTCAGCACAAAGTTCACAAATGAACACAATGCTTTCCTTCGCCTGATCACTCAGACGAGGGAAGAAGAATAGAGAAATGAAAATAGTCGGAAAATTTTATTCTGGCTGCTTTGTGTTCGTGATACAGCAGTTAATTTTCCAATGAGAGAAACCTGCCAGGAAAGTTTTAGCAGCACCTCAAATCAAGCAAAATTCTTTTGCAAAAGCGTAACCAATATCCACATACAAAATCTCCAGACTGATCTAATATATTTCCCTTAAGAATTAGTTGTAAGAATTGGATAAACGATCAAGGAAGTTCTTCTCTAGTGATCCTTGTACCATTAATTCCCGTATCTTTTCGTCCTTTCCCATTCGCTGATGTGTTGCTGTCGTTTAGAGAAAATAATTGTTGGTAACCCTGGGATGCGAAGAGTCTTAACCCTTGAATACCGCTACTTAGCTTTGTTCTTGAAGCGAAATTGACCCCACTATCAATATGTATATTCTCCATACAACTCCAACTCCAACTCCAACTCCAACATACAACTCTGTAAAGTAGTTAGAGGTGAACAACAAAAGCTTCTAATATAGCTTGTAGACCAGAGCTTGGTCGTTTTTCTTTAGATATCAGAATCAATCAAAAAATTCTCGAATTAACAATTAGTTCATGAGTCAGCGTGCGTATGTCGAGATATTGAGCACGCGGGAAGTTCACAGAACACGAAAGAGGCGTAAGCGCCGAGTGCAACTCTAGCCTCTTGAGTGCTCTCCAAACTTCCCAAGTGCTCAATATCTCGACATACGCACAGCTGCAGCATGAACTAATTGTTTTATAACATTATCAAAGCGATCAATGCATCAGTTAAGTTAAAATTTGTAAACAATCAAGGCTCTTTTTAATTATGTAACCATTTCTACTATTTGGTCCGACGTGACTGTGCGTTTGATTAAGCAGTGTTTGTTTTTTTGCTTTGTTTTGTTTGTTTGATAAGGAGAATGATTAGATGTTGGTTAGGAGCAGCTTGCTTCTCTCGCAGTCATAATTATAACTTACGCGACTTTGGAGAGGGGGCAGTTGTCGGAGGGTGTAACTTGCAGGTTGCAGGTCGCAGGTTGAAGGTCAGAATTTGAAGTACGCGCGACAATCAACGTTAAACTGATTTTGTGAAAAAAAAAAAAACTGTCTTTACAGCGTCACGC